AGAGCTCCTGATTAAAATCACTAATGATTTAAAATTTTTTTAAGTACTAGAAACTGTCAAAACATGGAGACAAATACAAATGTTTTACAATTTTAATTGCTGAACTTTATAAATGGCAACTCATATTATTAGTTTCATTGCTTAAAACAATCTTCCTTGGTTCATTTCTCAGTAAAAGTTTACCAAATACCTAAGTCAAAACAATGGCAATTGTCTTTCAGCACCTCTCTCAAGTAAAAAAAGTATTTCATGGGGAGGGAGGGAAGCATAGTTTAGTTCCAACTGAAAGAAGGCTAGTTTAGCTCCAACTCAATGACATATTTATCTGAGAAATTATAGTACTTCAAAACACCACAAAAGTGCTTTATGTAAATTTCTCATTTCAACACTTTGTATAATTGAATTATGGAGATGTAACAAACTTACAAATGTTTACTGCTTCATCTGGTATTTCTTTATGTGAGACTGGCTTTTTAATTAACCTAAGTACATAATGCTTAAAAAATACAATGGCTACCAGTGCAAGGTACGGCGCTGCCTTCATGTGCACTAAGGTGCTCATAGTTGACTGTACTATTGCTTTTACAGTACCAATGAAATGACAAAAAAGCAATTAAGTCTTAACATTATTATAGAGGTATGTGCGGCCATATAGACTTTCCTAAAGGATCGTGAGGACTCCCACTTTGAGCACCCTTAAACAGAGAAAAATGTAATTTTGACCTTTAGTTTCTTCACATGTAAAATGAAGATCCAGCATGATTTTCCAAGGACTGGCTTCTCTTGACAATATTCTCAAAGTCTGTGAGACAAAGTTTCACCATTCTTGCCTCTAAGGAGCACCCTGTTTGCACTTTCTCCAATAAAGACTGGTTTGCTCTTCTGGCAGTCTATACTCAAGCTAATTGTGCTGGTTTAGTCACTACTGAGTTAACTTTGACTCATGACAATCCTGTGTTGAAAAGTAAAACTATATCCCATAGGGTCTTTAAGGTCATGAACTTTCAGAACTAGATTGCCAGGCTTTGCCTCTGAGGTGCCTCCGTGAGGATCTAAACCTACAATTTTTCACAAGCTTAACACCTGTGCCACCTAGGGAGCTAACAGTTGCCAAATACTAATATTCTGATTATATTATGTCTTTTTCCTTTTTAAAAAATGGCAATACATTTAGAAAGTGCCACTTCCTCTCAACAAATACTTGGATTTATTTAACCGTTTCATTATCGAGATGGCCTACTCAAAATATATTACAACTAACAACTGGAACAGCACATCAACAGAGAACTACCAGAAGTCCAGGATGGGTTTAGAAGGGGTCGTGGTACTAGGGATATTGTAGCTGATGTTAGATGGATCTTAGCTGAAAGCAGGGAATACCAGAGGAATGTCTATCTGTGTTTCATTGACTATGCAAAGGCATTTGACTGTGTGGATCATAACAAACTATGGCTGACTCTGAGAAGAATGGGAATCCCAGAACACTTGATTGTTCTAATGCGAAACCTACACTTGGACCAGGAGGCAGTCGTCAAAACAGAGCAAGGGAACACTGCATGGTTCAAAATTGGGAAGGGTGTACGCCAGGGATGCATCCTATCTCCATACCTTTTCAACCTATATGCAGAACAGATTATCCGGGAGGCTGGACTCTATGAGGAGAAATGTGGCGTCAAGATTGGTGGACGATTTATCAACAATCTGAGTTATGCAGATGACACAAACCTGCTTGCTGAAACTGAAGAGGACCTGAAGCATCTGCTGCAGAGGGTCAAGGACTGTAGCCTACAATATGGATTGAGGCTCAATGTCAAGAAGACAAAGATTCTCACCACTGGACCAATTGGCAGCATCAGGATGGATGGTGAAGAGATTGAGATTATACACAGCTTTAGTTTGCTTGGCTCCACAGTCAACAGTCTTGGCACCAGCAGCCAGGAAATTAAAAGGCGCATTGCCATGGCAAAGTCTGCTGTTAGGGACCTCTCCAAAGTGCTGAAGAGCAATGGTATGTGTCTCTCTGGAGACTAAGGTGCGTCTGATACAGGTCATGGTCTTCGCAATCACTTGTTATGCATCAGCGAGTTGGACAATGACCAAGGAGGATAGAAGGAGAATTGATGCCTTTGAGCTGTAGTGCTGGAGAAGAGTATTGAGAATACCATGGACTGCTAGGGAGCTGTAGTGCTGGAGAAGAGTATTGAGAATACCATGGACTGCTAGGAAAACAAACAGATTCATGCTGGAAAGGGTTAAACCGGGTGGCTCCTTGGAGGCAAGGATTCTGAGGCTCCGTCTAACATACTTTGGACATGTTGTTGAGGAGAGGCCGGTCCTTGGAGAAGGACATCATGCTTGGGAGGGTGGAGGGACAGCGCAGGAGGGGAAGGCTCTCTATGAGGTGGATTGATTCAGTGACTGGGGTAATCGGGATGGGAGTGTCAGAGACAGTGCAACTGGCACAGGACAGAGCGGAGTTTAGGGCTGTTGTACATAGGATCACTATGAGTCGCAAGCGACTCGACGGCACATAACAACAACGACAACAATCTATAGCTGTCAAGAATGAAAAATATCATGCTTGAGATCAGATCACTATTAAGTGGAGTTGCAAATTATCATCATTACTGGTATTAAATTTTGTTCTTGCAATACTTCCTAAAGCCAGTAAAATTATGTTGTTCCAGAGAACAACAGTTCTCTAAAACAGAAGTCCACAGACCTTTACCATTACCAGGTGACCAGCATTTCATACTTCTTAAAACTGCTTTTGTAACTTAAATTCCATCATTAATTTCTCATCTGCACTTCAAACAAAAACCTGTTATTAACTTACCAGGTAGTGTCTGAACAGGCTCTTGCCTTTATCTTTTTTAACACTCCTTTCCTCCCTTGATCAGGATGCTGCTCATCACTTTTTTTTACTTTCTTTTCTCTTTCTCTCTTTTTCAACTGTGCAAAACAACTTTTTTTCTTTTCAAAGACCAATGAGTAGAATAAAGTGAAAACTTTACTGTCTTAGAAAAGATTAACATACAATTATGTGTAAGATTAAAATAACTCTAAATAAAAAGGAATGGATCCATTCCTTCCTCTCCTGAGCCACCTTGAAAGCTTTACATTCTAACTTTCAGACTTAACTGCTCTCATTTTCAGTGATGATTATTCAGGTACAGTAAGTACTAAGAGGGGCTAGTTAGCACAACACTGTGAATGTAAACCAGTTCCTTCTGAACTAGGCTGGGGGAACCCAGAAAATTCATTGGTTCCAACATTCATAAACAACCTGTGTTATGCTGATGACACAACTTTGCTTGCTGAAAAGTGAGGAGGATATTAAATGTCTGTTGCAGAAGGTCCGGGACAACAGCCTTCGGTATGGAGTACATCTCAACATCAAGAAAATAAAGATCCTCACCACAGGCCCATCAGTCAACATTATGATAGACTGAGAAAAGATTGAAACTGCTAATGATTACATCTTGCTTGGATCAACAATCAACATCCTTGGTACCAGCAGTCAGGAAAGCAGATGTACTGCAGTGGGCAAGTCTGCTGTCAGGGACCTCTCCCTATTACTGAAGAGCAATGATATCAGGTTGAAGACTAAGGTGCACCTGATTCAGGCCATGGTATTCTCAATCACCTGCTATGCTCTGAGAGCTGGACAATTAGTAAAGACTACAGAAGAAGAAGTGCTGCCTTTGAGCTGTAATGTAGGAGAAGAGTACTGAATATCCCCTGGACTGCCAAAAGAACAAATAGGTATGTCCTAGAAAGGGTACAGTCAGTATGTTCTTTGGAGGCAAGGATGATCAAGCTTTGTCTTTCATACTTTGGACAGCTAGGTAAGGCTATTCCTTGGAATGAGACATCATGCTTGGAAAGATGAAGGTCAGTGAAGAAGAGGACAACCCCCAACAAGACGGAGTGACATTGTCATTTTAGTAATGGGCTCTACTGTCTCAGAGATGATGAGAATGGCACAAGTTTCAGGTTGGCTGTTCAAATTGATGGCACCTAACAATATAGATCAGGCTTTGTTTTCATCCTCTGACCATTAAAAAAAAAGCCTAAGCTTGAATGAATGGAAATCCAAAATCTCTGTAAATGCTCATTAAAATTATTAAAGAAAAAATAAAGCTTAAGAAGGGGGGGGGGAAGCCTAAGCCACATGGGAACAGTGCTTCCACAAACCAAAGGATGTAGGTCTCTTTGATCTGATCAAGCTCTCGCTCCTCTTAAGATTTTTACATATACTGCTACCTCTGGCTAGAAATCATTCCTTATCATCTCTGGCCCTTTTTTCAGGTCTCTGTTTAATTAAGCACTTCTTCAAAGAAATCTTTCCCTGAATTCCCATAGCCTCCTCATGAATTCCCAACTAAAATGTACTCCTGTAATTAGCTCTTCTGCCTAACATTGTACTGAGCCGAGTACAACTCACATTGTTCCTATGAAGAAAAGACTTTAACTTGACCCCGTCACATGCTCTTTTCAGCTGTTACTGAGCCCACTGTTATAGTCACTCTGTCAATTCATCTCACTGAAAGTCTTCCTCTTTTTTGCTGACTCTCCACCTTTCCAAGAATGATTGTCCTTTTCCAAAGCATAGATTCCTCTAATAATACACCCAAAATATGTAAGATGAAGTTTCACTATCCTTGCCTTCAAGAAGCACTCTGGTTGCCTTTAACACCTTTTTGTTTTGTCTTATGTCAGTCCACGGATATTCAGTACAGTTTTCCAATACCACAACTCTAAAGCATTTATTCTTTCATCATTTTATAGTCTTTTCCTTTATAGCACTTACCACAGTTTGGTTAGTCAATATGAAGGTTTATAGTGTTTCTCAGACTTTTACCTTCCCTCTTATAATAATTTTCTCTAAGGTAGTACCTACTAAGTTGGATTTGGATTTTTTGTTTGTTTTTTAAAGAAGAAATATTAAATTAATATAAAATAGGTAAGTGAATGCAGTTATCCAAGTGTTCTCATACCTTTTGGAAGCATCTTGTTTTGGAGGCCTTGTCTGTTTAGTACCTACAAAAAAGGAAAGTAAAAATTTTATAATAATAAAATAATACACCGTAAGTCAAGCCTGAACACGGTGGGCACTGGGCAGATTCCTATCTAAATAACTCAAAACTGTAAATCACCTTTCTTTTTCTCATGAACATCACTTCCAATCCTGTATATAAACCAAAATGAAATGGGGAGGGAATCCAATTTGGTTTTGTAAATTAATTATTCTCTTATTTCTCTAGTTTAAATTGTTACCTTTTGTTATGATTTGGAACCACAACTGACCCTCCAGTGAGTTTTCAGGGGCTGTAAATTGCACAGAAGAATGGCCAACTTTCTCCTACAGAGCAGTCAGTAGATGAATCTTGTGCATTTGGGTTGATTGTACAACTCCTTACAAGCAGAATTCCCTTTTAGAGTTTTCGTTTTCTTATAATAAATTTGGCAGTTACCTGGTGGCACAACCATTAGGCGCTTGGCTGCCAACGTTGGGAGTTCAAATCCACCTGGTCTCTCCTCTTGAGACCTACAGACCTACCTGGCGATCTGCTTCTGTAAAGATTATAGTCAAGAAAACCCGATGGAGCAGTTCTACTGTCATGAAGAGGACAAAATCGACTGAGGGCACTTAACAACATCAAATTAGTCTCGCCGTTCTGAAAATCTGAGTTCTGGCGCATCCTCTTCCCATCTCTTTTTTTTTTTTTTTTTTTATTCCATTCATTCATT